CATTGCATGTACATGTACCATTACAGGTTTCTCATCTTCTTCGTTGTTTATTTTAGCAGAAATGTCTTCCGAACAAAGCATCAAGGACCTTCAGGCACAAAACGCCCAGTTCCAACAAATGTTCGTAAGTCTGGCAAAAGGGCAGGAGGATCTGAAAGCCCTCATCCTGAAAGAGAAAAATAAAAAGAATAAGGCTGTCGGTATTCTGAATGTGGGTAGAAGGTTTGGAGAGCGGTTGAAGCGACAAGTCGATCTGACCTCTTCATCTAAGGAAGGGGAGAATCAAGAAGAAGAGACAGGGGAGAAGGACCCCAGTCCTACAGTTTCTGACAACGATACTGACTATAATGATGAGCAATATCCTCCTGCTGAGGATAGATACAAGCAGTTGGAAGATCGTTTGAGTGCCATGGAAGTTCAGAGGATACCCGGACTGGATTTCGAAGAATTTGGATTGGTGTCGGGAGTGGTCATCCCGCAGAAGTTCAAAGCTCTAGTTTTTGCTAAGTATGATGGGTTGTCCTGCCCAAAACTCTATCTCCGTTCTTATGTTAGAAAGATCCAGTCCCACACTGTTGATAGAAATTTGTGGGTTCATTTCTTTCAAGATAGTCCGTCAGGGCTCAGCTTGAATGGTTTTACCAGCTGGAGGGAGCCAATGTCCGAAATTTGGAAGATCTGGCTGCTGCTTTCTATAAGCAGTATCAATATAACGTCGACCTTTCTCCTACTCGTACTCAACTCCAGAGTATGTCCATGGGTGCAAGTGAAGGCTTTAAAGACTATGCACAGAACTGGAAAGACTTGGCTGGAAGAGTTCAACCCCCATTGTCTGATAGGGAGTTGGTTGATATGTTTCTGGGGATGCTATCTGGTCCATTTTTCAATCATTTGATCGGTAGCTCGTCAGCTGGTTTCACCGAGCTGATTCTAATTGGAGAAAGAGTAGAAGCTGGGATTCGGAGCGGCAAGATACAGAAGGATACCTCTTCGAGCTCAGTAAAGAAGCCTTTTGCTGGTAAGAAGGAAGCGAGTGCCATCTATAGCCCGAGGGGCCAAAACAGGGATGAACATCGTTAGACAGTAAGTGTCGTAATGATACTGAGGCCTGCAGTTGCTCCACAATGCAACAATCAACAAAGGGTGGAAAGACCACAACGGCAGTTTACCCGAATCAACATGACATTAGCTGAAGTTCTACCTCATCTGCTGAGATCCAACCTGGCAACTTTAAAAGAGGCTCCCAAGAATCCAAATACTACATCTCCCCGATATAATCCAAATGCTCGGTGTGCCTATCATTCTGAGAGTCCTGGCCACGATACCAATGATTTTTGGGCTCTAAGAAATAAGGTACAAGATCTTATTGAAGCCAAGGAAATTGAGTTCGATGCTCCGGAGAAGCCCAATGTCATAACTGCTCCCATGCCTAAGCACGGTCGTGGAATTAATGTTGTTGATACCGACTTGTTTGTGACCTTGGTGGATGAAGTTTCTACTCCTCTCATGACTGTGAAGAAGAAGAAGAAGAAGAAGAATTGCTAACTTGAATCCATATTTTCCTTGTCTCATTCAAGTTGGAGAATAGATGATGGAGTTCTGAAATTTGTAAATTAAAGAAATGATGTTTTCGAGTTTTGCTTATGGAAGAAATGATATTTTTGAGCTTGGTTTAGTGGAGACATATTGTGTCGTAAATGAAAGGTGGTGTTTCAAGGTAGAAAATGAATCGTCTAAGTTAGAAGTTTGTGTAAGTTTTAGGTTTCATACAGATCACTAATGGTAGTGTCTTGAGCGTTGATAGTCACTGAATGGAGGGCTGGGATCTATTTAAGGACGGTGAAGAAACTCAATAATCACGCTACATACCACAACAGTTGTATTAAATAACCATTATTATATGTATTTTAATAAAATATAAAAAATACAGCAGTAGAATAGTAACAACAAGATTCGAGCTCATGATCGTGCGCGCTACATACAATAATTATTATATTAAACAATTATTGTTGTATGTCTTTTAATAAAATATAAAAATGTAATAGTAGAATAACAACAACAACAACAAGATTCGAACTCATGACCATACGCCACTTTTTATCACGGTTGGAACTTCCAACCGTGGTGAAAAGTGACTTAAATATGAAAATAAAAAAGCGTCTAGTTGAATAGATTCTATTACGGTGGATCCTTTGATGTGGTGACTTGGGCATTGTTGTTTGTACGTTTTATACTAATGATAGTATCACCAATACACCACAATGCATCATATAAATCACAATAATTCAGACATAATCACAATTAACTAATAAAATAATTAACTATGATTTTTGGGTTGTTACAAACTACATGCTAATATTGCTTATTTTTAGAAACAAAGTTAAATATTACTTATTTTATTAAATTTCTATAAAGTCCAAAATGAAATTGGGACCCCAAATTAGTTAAGGCCCTGTGATGTGGCTTACTCTGCACATGCACAGGGTCGGCACTGCATAAGCCTGTGAAGAATCATCAACAACAATAATGGCATCAACAACAATAAATACATAAGCATGTGAAGAATCATCAATAACAAAATAAATAAGCACGTGAAGAATTATCAACCACAGCAAATACATAAGCATGTGAAAAATCAACAACAACAACAAATACATAAACAACAATGGCATTCGTGGCGGCATCAACATGAAAAAAAACTCAATGAAAAATGACGGTACTGTAGATGCACGGGGAAAACGTTTATGTACCAGAAATGTGATGAATGAGTAAAAAATGGCGTTGGCTCCTTCTTTGAGTTCCTACTCGAAAGCTAAATTGAAGGCTAGTCAAGAACGAAGAGCACAAGTCAGCTCCTTCCTCGATGGTACAAAAGCACACAAGTTGGTTGAAAATAAAGATACTGGTGTTGTACCTTTTGTTAGGGTTGATACAAATTGTTCCCGTTAGGGTTGCAATGGTGTTGTTTGATTTAGGGTTACAATGTTATATATTTGTCAAGGGTTAAAATGGTGTTGTTTCGTGATGAAAATGAAAATATGGAACTGAAGAGACAAGTTAACTAGCTCTGTTACGTTAAAGTAATTAAATCATATAACCACGGTTGTTAAGAAAAACCGTTGTGATATATGATGAAATTTTATAAAAAATGCGTCAGGTATTAAGCATTTAATTTTAAAAAATAATGAAAAATATATCAAAACGATTTTCTTTAAAAATTGTGGTGATATAAGATTTACATTAATGATATTTTATTAAAAAAGAGTCGGGATTAAAAATTAAAAAATTGAAAAATATATCACAATGGTTAGCTTAAAGAACAATGGTGATATTACTTTGGTTTTTTAAATAAAAATGAAGGCTTCTCTGAAATATAGAAAAAATCACGAATGAGGAGGAACTAAGAATCAAACTCATGAAACATATAAGATATCAATACGGTCGAGTTTATAAACCGTTGTAATAAATTAACAATGTTTAATTAAAAAAAATTATGGGTGCTTGAAAGCATAGATATCACCACGGTTTCCTGAAGGACCGTAATAAACGTGGTGTCGTTGTATGTAATTTTTATTGTAGTTAAGAGAAATAGAGTTTGGCTAATGAAAGATAAAGTTCGAAGATAGAAGATGAAGTTCGTATAGGGCATGAGAGACTTTATTTAAGCAAATGTGAATAAGCTTGGAGCGTTATATATCTTGAAAAACAAAACTGAGTGAGTTTTCCCTACATTTAAAATTCCCAACCGTGGGAAAATGTAATTTATTTTTAATTTAAAAATAAAAAAGGATGGTGTCCCTTTTATTATAAAATAAAAATACAAATATGATGGCATTGTGAGTCGAACTCATGATCACTACAATTTTTTCATACGGTTGAAATTTCCAACTTTAAAAAATTATAATTTATTTTTAATTTAAAAAGAAAGATGACTTACTTTTATTTCAAATAAAATATAAAATTGTTGGCGCTGAAAGTCGAATCCATAATCAGTATAATTTTTTTCACGATTAGAATTTCTAATAGTGGAAAAACATTATTTGCTTTTAATTATAACAAAGGAAGGCGTCAAATTTTAAAGGTTTCATTTCGACCATTATTCACTATCTGGTGGTTAAAGTATCTACAAGGTCTAATTTAAAAACTAATTCATTTTCATAATAAATGTATAGTTATAATTATTGAATAGAAAATGATTGATAATACTCATAGTTTTAAATTATGGTAGCGGATATGATTGCAGGTGTTGTGATTATGGACATTAAAGTTAGTGTGATGCACATCACTATCGATGCAACGTAATTTTTGACTGAGAGATGTTTGAAGTACACATTTGAAAAACAATTAATGTCAACAAATATTTACATCACAAATAAATTGAATTTTGAGGTTATGAAATTTTGAGTTTCAATAAAAAATACTTGAAAAAACATGGATAAAATTGTATGATATGGATCTTATGCAATCGAATATGCAACATTAAATCATATCACACTTGTCTTTCAATGTGGTTGCAGAAGTTATCACATTAATAATATTGTAGATGCAATTGTGAATGCAATACTGCATATTTATAGTAGATATGTTATTTTAGAACCAAGATTATGATATATGTTTTTATTTAATTAAAAGAGGTATTTTTGTCTTAAAAAAACTTCATATTCTTAATAAATTTTATGAATGCTAAATAATGTTTATTAAATTCTCATTTCAACTCTTCACTGGTTATTAGTTATAAATTTTAACAGTATGTTTTTATATATTAAATTAACTGTAACAATTTTGTGAGTTGGATATTGTGTTGCTTCATGCCTCATGCATATGGTGGGGTCCCTTATGTTATGACATTCATGGCTTCCATTGTCAAAACAGGTTAAGTCAGAGACTAGTAGTTATGAGTTTTGGACTTATTCATCATTTTCATCATAATATATTACTTATAAAGCAATGCATAGAGTTCACTTCACATTTCAAACACAAAACTTGAGAGAAAACCAAACATGGTGAACACAGTGAATGTAATTTGGTCACTGGTTAGTTGGGTAGTGAAACTAGCTGGTTTGATGCTCTACACAGTTGAGATAGAACCAGGCACAGTAATGAGATTTTGGGTTCCTTCTAACACCATTTCAAAATCCAACAAACCTATTTCCAAACCTACTAAACCAGTAGTTGTTCTTCTGCATGGCTTCTGCGGCGACGGACTTGCAACATGGCAGTTCCAACTCACCCCTCTAGCCAAAAACTACGACGTTTATGTTCCAGACTTAATTTTCTTCGGTGGATCCATAACCGATAAGCCAGACCGGTCACTGGCTTTTCAAGCGGAGTGTGTGGCGGCCGGGTTAAAGAAACTCGGCGTGGAGAAGTGTGTGGTGGTTGGATTCAGTTATGGTGGAATGGTGGCGTTTAAAATGGCTGAGATGTATCATGAATTGGTGCAAGCGGTGGTTGTAACTGGTTCAGTTTTGGCAATTTCGGAGTGTATGATTAGTAAGGCAGTGGAAGATGCTGGATTTTCTTCTTGCTCGGAAATGCTGATGCCGTCTTCTATAGATGGAGTGAGGGCTCTTCTTTCTGTTGGTTTCTACAAAAACATTATGTTTCCCAATCGTCTGCTAAGTGATTTTATTGAGGTTTGTCTTTATGTAATTTTACAATTCTAAATCAATTCAACATTTTTTAGTAAATAGTATAGATTAAATCAACTAGTTTATAATCAATCAATTATAAATTCATCTATTATAAATTAATTAATAAACTATATTTTTCCTTTGCCCTAAACCCTATTATAAATTAGGAGTAAGGTAATCTATATACTTCATTTTTTTAACATAAAAACAAAAAATTAAATTTTTTAACTATGATTCTTAAAGAATATGATTGTTTTTACTTATAAATTAGTAGAACCTATTTTTATAAGTGGACTTTGTTAATACTTTCACATCAAAGATCATAAAATGTGCTTATTTACAAATTGATTTTGTAAAAAGTTTAGTTTAAGATTTAGATTGTTATTAGGTTATTCGTTATAGGACACCCATCATTTATTTTTATGTTTCAAATATTCAGTTGTGAAAGTACAAGAGAAAATGTATTAAGAATCTTACATCAGACAATATATAATTTGAATGTGTTTATAAACTGAAAATTTTATCTTATAAACTGATTTTTAGAATTTTTTCAACCATAATTTCGTAAGGGGTTGTTTGAGAGTTGGTTTCTGGAGGGTTTTGGTGAGGAAGACTTCGGAAAGTTGCATCTTTAACTTAAAATGTGTTTGAAATATTTTTAAAAAGTTTAAAAAATAATATACTATATTAGCATATAAAATCATATTGTTTTTAAAACTTTTTTAGAATATCAAATACATTTTAAGATATAAATGCAACCTATAAAGTATTTCCCTTCAAAATCCTCCTAAAATGAATTCCCAAATGGTCCCTTAAAAGACTTCACTATAGTTTCGCTTCATTATAGATAACTTATATTCTTTTAAAGATAAATAAAATATATATTAAAAAGAAGAGTTAAAAGGTAGTACAATAACATTGTAAAATAGTTTTACATTATCATTCAATGAAATTTCACCATTTAGTATGTCATATAAAATTTATTTAAAAATAATAGAATGATTTGGCACTAGGGGTGGAAATAAACTAGGCTAGGCTAGGCTTTATAAGACTCGGGTCTGGCCTACGATAAACTTAAAAGGTCTGAGCCTGACCTGTGACCTATTATAGACTATTTTTTTGGGTCTGACCTGACATTTTCTAAAATCTGACATGACCTGAAAACCTATATTTCATTAAGATTTTCAACTAATTTATATTACATAAGAAGCCTTATAAGTCGACATATATATATATATATATATATATATATATATATATATATATATATATATATATATATATATATATATATATATATATATATATATATATATATATATATATATATATATATATATATATATATATATATATATATATATATATATATATATATATATATATATATATATATATATATATATATATATATATATATATATATATATATATATATATATATATATATATATATATATATATATATATATATATACATATAGACCGACCTATTTAGTCTTTGCTCTAATATATCTGCATATATAGACAAGCATATTTAGTCTCTTTCTAATATTTATATGCATATATAAGCCAATTTATTTAGACTATTTTTAATATACATAAAAATACAGGTCAGGCTATAAGGTTTCATAGACTTTTTTAATAGCCTAAGTCAGGCCTTTTTAATTAAGTAGATTTTAAAAAAATCTAAGTTTGACCTGTTTATTAAATAAGTCTGGTCTGGTCTTAAATAGGCTAGATCACAGATCTCTGTAGGCCGACCTGACTTATTCTCACTCTTATTTGACACTTAAAATAATTGTGATTGATTATTCTCAAACAACAAAAAAGAATGCACGGCCAAAGTATAAGGGACACTTGAAAAAGACATGAGTACTAATCTCGAAAATAAAAATGATAGAAAAACACAAAAAATATAAATATTTATAACAATTTCAACCATCAGATGAGGAGATCACAATCCACAAGAACAAAATAATTAGAAAAAAGACTAAAAAAAACAGAATTCAGAAAGAATTCGATTATTTATTTATCACATAAATTAACCTTCACTTATATTAATATATCAGATATATTAACCATAAATAATATAGATAAATTGAGCAAATTTAAAAATTTTTTAAGCGAACATATTTCATAAATATTAAAAGTGTCACTTAACAAAATAAAAGTTAATTAAAGAATATTTTAGAGGTGGTAAATAGACACAATTAAATTTGAATTATATTTAAAACCATACACCATTATTTGATAAAAAGAACCATACATCATTATTCAATTAACATTATTTTATTTGGTACCTAGTACTTGTATTTGATACATAGGTATATATTGTTAGTTATTTATTACTTATAATATTTGACAGAATATTTTGAGCAATTGACTGTGAAAGTAACTTTAAACTATGTCAACTATAATTGGTAATTAATAGGTAATTAATATATAAATCTTTGACAAACATTTGTCAATAGAACAGAGAATAGTTAACACGTAAGTATTATTATCAATAACAAATTATACACGTAGGTGACAATTTGTTTGGAAGGTGACCGTTAGTCAAATCACATATGACAATATGACAATATGTAATCATTAAAAAAACAATTAATATTTATATTATAAGTTTTAAGAAGGAAATATATTTTATAATATTTTATAATATGAAAATAAATTTTTTTGATTATTAATTAACAAAGTATTTTTACTGTTATAATAGTATTTAAATTTTTAAAGTTGTTTGATTTATAAAAATTAACAATTTATTTATATTATTGCACAAATATAAATAATAATTAAATATTAAATTATGCATATTTATCAATAATTAAACCTTAAATCAACGATATACATGTCAATTAAACTATCATCTCATTCCACTAATATTTAAATTTAATTATAATTATAATTTCATATTTTATTTAATTTACAAATTAAGGTTTATTATTTTAAATTCAACTATTTTTTTTCACTTTTTTTATTGAATATTGGTTTTATATTTTTTATTTATAAATGTTTAGAAAAGTTTTATATAATTATTTATCACGTTTATCTTTGACACATCATTTAAAAATAAAGACATCGACTATAAATGTAAAATTAAGAGACAAGATCAAAATTATTTAAATTTAAAATAATTGAATTATTTTTGTGACTCTGATAAAATAGAAAGACTAATATTATAGATATTATAATTCAGTATAATATTTAATTAAATATGCATTTTCTAATAGAAAAATAAGTAAAAATTAACATATAACATATATTTTTCAAAGTTAATTTAATATTTATAACATATATTTTAAAATTTTATATTTTGTAAAGAGCTGTATTTTTTATGGTAAGTTTGTACAAAAAAAATCAATTATAACTGATAACTAATTTTGTAATTTTATTTGTTTTTTTTTAAGTTTAAAATATTATTAACTATTTTTTTTATAAAAAATTATCCATAATATTTATTACAGATAGTGAGATATTTTAGAGTACTTGATTATAAATAAAAATAACTTACTTTAATAATTATAAAATAATTTAGATAAATTCAATTAATCTTCTTAATCTCTTTTAAAAAATATTATTGTATTCCCAAAAGTAGTATTCCAATAAATCGTTAGTTAACTTGTTCAGTTAGAATAAAAGAGACATAAGAAAGTAAACCTTATATTAATTGAGGGATAATTTAGAAACTTTAATGTGATTTTTGTGAGTAATATATCATTAATTGCAGGTGATGTTCTCAAATAGGAAAGAGAGAGGTGAATTATTAGAGGCCTTAGTCAATAGTTACAAAGACATCAACATCCCGAAATTTCCGCAGGTTATTCATAATTTTGATGCTAATATTTTGATACTAAACCTCTTGCCATTTTCTATGTGCTATTTTACAATTGTTCTAAAACCCTATGTTTTTAATTTTATTAATTAATAATAACTAACTAACTAACTTTCCTTTGCAGCAAATATTTCTTTTATGGGGTGAGAAAGACAAACTTTTCAAACCAGAGGTTGCACAAAAGATGATAGGGTAAGAAAGTTTGATCACAAAATTTCAATTATTTCAAAGTTTTTTTTAAGGCTAATACCACTTTATCCCTTGTAATATAAGTAAATTTTAATTTATTCTTTATATAAAAAAAATTTGAAATTTTTTAATTTGATTTACCCTTTAAATGTACAAATTAAATATTAAATTTGGAGGTAAATAAAAAAAAGCACAAAGAGTAATTTTTATTTATGAGACAAAAGACATAAAATTTTAATATTTTAAGAGAGTGATTTAATTTTTTTTTTATAGAAGATAAATTAATATTCGAAAGATTTTTTTATATTTAACCCTAAAATTTGTACGCAATTTATCTACAATTTAATTGTTTGATACATATTACAGTAAGCTTGGAAATAAAGCAACATTTCAAGAGATAGAGGAGGCTGGTCACTTGGCTCACTTGGAGAGACCAAGTATTTATAATAGGTGCCTTAAACGGTTTCTTTCTTCAGTTATGCATGGCGAAAGAAAATAATCCAACTCATATCTATGAATATGTCAATGGAGTGTTTTGTTTGTTCTAAGTTGATAAGTTAATTGAGTGAGTCCAATTGTGTTTTGTAAGTTCTAAGTTGATAAGTTGTTTGAGTGAGTTCAGTTATGTCTTTGCTTTTAACTTATGGTTGTGCAAGTGTTTTCAAACACTAATATGAATGTTGTTTGTATTAAGTGTATTCAAGTAAATTCGTATAAACACTTCCTAATTGTGTTATTGTCTACATTGTAGCTTTAATCATATAAACCAGTTTGAGCTAGCTAGATATTTGTTTTGTTGAGTTGTTATAATATATTTAATTGTTATGCATTTATAAGTAAAAAAATTACACTACTAGCAAATCATAATCATTTATGAGCTTGATTTTATTGACATTTATGATAGAAGTAAAAATATCTTTAATTATCTAAGAGTTGTGATTGATTCACATTGAAATTTTTATTTACAATGATAACGAAAGCATATTAATCTCTAGTATAATTAGTTGTATTGAGTAATCTCTCGTCTAATTTTTATTTTGAAGACAAAATAATATTAATAATAATAAAAGGGAGACAACAATCTAAAACAACAAACAATTGAGTAGAGAGTTCACATAAGTTAATATCAAAAGCTATAACAATAAAATCTACCAAATACAAGTGGGAATAACTATAATACCAAAAAGCAAAAAAGCTACCACCAGAAAAAACTACAAGTGAACTCCAAAAAAAAAAACATCATCTAAGAACGATAACCTATAGAAAGATTGAGCTTAAGCTTAAACCAATTGAACCACCAGCACTGAATCAAAGACCACTAAGGAAGAAAGAAGAAACACATATGTAGTGTTATGTTTGTGAGAGTCTCAAACAAAGACGACTATAGGGTTCCCGCCTAGTATGACGTTATCTTGGCGACATCTTTACATAATATGAGGCTCGCTCACGGGCTTGAGAACATGAATAGTATTGTTACCCGCATCGGTCATATGAGAATAATACAATGGTGTCCACCGTGGGGCCTCGGTACAACTAACACGGGTCACACCTTCTTCATTACAATCATCAGACTCACTATTATCCTTCACTCCTATACCTAACAATCCTCAACCATTGTTAATAGAAGAGCTTTATCCTTTACGCATAAGGATACCAGTGGTAGCGGTGATGCCAACGCTCAATCGGAGATGCGTGCCACGATGGATGAACTACACTGTCAGAATCAAACACTAGAGAATAATGTCCATAATATCATACAATGCTAACAAAATTCCAATCCACCAAAGGATATGGAAGTGATGGATCTCCAGCCATTCTAGAAGAGATATGGAAACCACCTATCCCTAAAGGATTTAAACTGATCTCTAGCCAACACTACTACAAAAAATATCTTTCGTAACGCCACTGAAATTTATTTCACCACGACCAAAGGATTCACCGTGGTAGAATTTATTCAATTAGGCGCTTTTATTTTATTTTCATCTATAAGCCAACTTTTCACCACAATTGAAACTTCCAACTATGGTGAAAAGTGGCGCATGATCATGAGTTTGAATCTTACTGTTGTTATTGTTGTTATTGTTTACTGCTGCATCTTTTATATTTTATTAAAATACATAAAACAATGGTTGTTTAATACAACCATTGTTGTATGTAGTGCATGGTCATGAGTTTGAAAATTGTTGTTGTTGTTGTTGTTGTTGTGGTTGTTGTTGAACTATTGTACTTTTTATATTTTATTAAAATATGTGATCGGTGGATCTGGAACTGACTGTTTAACGCTGGTTCGCGAAATGTCGCGGAAGCAAGAGTCGCCACCGTCTTTTATTTTCTCCAAATGGAAAGGACAAAAGCACAGAAAAATTCCTTAAAGAGATTGCTCTCGGTTCGGGAGGTAGGTTATAGAAAGGGAAGGTGTTAGCACCCTTTCTATCCATGGTTATCCATGGGCTCTTAGATACTTGCTCATTGTGTTTTCAAAAATGTTTTGTTTGCATTTCAATGTGGGTTTAAAAAGTTTCTTTGAAAAATTTCAGTTCGACTCGTACGTCAGAGTGTTTGAAAAATTTGCTTTGAAAGCTTTTGAAAATGTGTTGGTGTGAAAAGATTTTGATTTGTTTGAAATTAGAGCAAGTATCCTTGAGAACCTATCTACCCTAAGGAATTCGTCTGTGTAAATGTCCTTAAAAGTAGTGCCATCCCACCATTGAGAGGTAGGTAGCACCACCGTTGGAGGTGTTTGGGTCAATTCGAAAGTTCGGGACATGGTGATCACCAGAGCAATGGGAAGACACCTTAGAAGCTACCCTCATGCCAGGTTCCTGGATCATGAGGACTTACTAAAACATCCTCTACTCGACGATCACCTTTCGAGGCAAGGCAACAGTGAGGCGTACCCTAGGGGTGGTGTGTGCGATTCGTGTGTCGTTTTCATTGATATTTGTCTTGTCATGTTTATTTGTGTTCTACGCTTGATTTTAATTAAGACATTCATTCTTGCATGCTTTTTAACAGTTATAAAGTTTGCGGGAAAATAAATCTACAGCTATTACAAAGGGCGCGGGTCCACATCGCCAAAATTAAACCGGACCCGATTTAGACGGAAAATAAATAAAGCAATAAAAGTGCGAGAAATAAATCGTTTACAAGGCTTTGGGACATGTACATAATTATAATAAGCGACAAAGTAAAATGCGCGAAATTAATAATTAAAAGTATGGGCGTTGGACCCTTTTGCAAAAAATTAAAGTTGATGAATTAGTTGGAATTAAAGATTAAATGTTTTTTTTGGTATTTTTGTATTTTTTAAGACTTAAAAGAAAAAGAATTTATTGAAATTAAAAATAAAATGCTAAACCCTAGTTCTAATGTTTTTTAAGTTTATTATGAAAATGTTATATTAATCTAAATTAAACCCTAATTTATTTATATACAATTTAATTATGAAAATAAATAAATAATAATATTATGATAAAAAGGAAAAATTAAAAGGAGTGGAAATTATTAATTAACCTAATTCTACATTTTTATATTTATTATGAAAAGAATTAAAATTGCAAAAATCCTAATTAAAACTAAATTCATTATATGTTAACTTATTTACAAGAAAATAATTACAATAAAAATATTTATTATTTTTTTTTTTTGGTCTTTTCTGATTTTTTATGATGTTTTTGTATTTTGTAAAATATAATTAATTAAATTAAGACAATTGAATAAAATAAAAATCACAATTAACAATAAAATAAAAATAAGTAAAAAAGGAAGAAATTGCAAACCAGGGGGGTTTCAGACCCAATATGGAGGTTTCAATTGTGAAATTCTGGCCCAAAATATCCTAAGTCCATTTGACTTTTTGAATGGTATGCTGAAGCGTTGACTGAGGTACATGGTACTCTTCAAATCTAAGCCTTTGGTTTGATCTCCAGGGGGACGTGTCAAGGCTTGGTCTGGGGTATATGATGCGTCTTCATACCAGTATTGCATGGGAACGTCTTTGGAAAAATATTGTTGAGAATGATACAGACCTGGGGTTCGAACCCAGGTCTTGGACTTTGCAAAGTGACACCTGCACCACTGAAGCACTTCAACGCGTTTATTATATTAGTAAGCAATAAATATAATAAAAGAAGATAAAACGTGAATAAGTTAGACGCGCGAAATTCAAACCCACGTATCCCCCACTGCCACGAGTCCTTCTTCTTCCTTTTCCCTGAAACGTAAACATGAGGCAACGGTTTTCATAGCGTGGCCTAAGACCGTATATCAAAAAATAGCGAATAGACCCTCGACGCTCATAAATTGAGCGCGAGGGTTGGAATCTTTTCGTCTGGACGTGCTAAGTGCAGTGGCAATAGTCTTGAGCTCCAATTTTGCTTCGTCTCAAAAACCCCAAATGGGCAAGCCTGTAAACCCTAGAAACTGGCCATGGCAAAACCTTATATACAACATGAAAATCCAATTGAATACAATGGTTAGCTTTAAAACTTTGTAAGGAACATGAATATACAATTAAAATCCAATGATCATGCTTCAAAACCAAAATACGATTAGGCAATTTTCTGGGTTCAGTTCACGTTCAATGTACCAATTCTTTGCGTTTGAATTGATGTTAGGGATTGGCACGCGTTCAGGGAACCACAGTGAAGCTATTGAGACAAGAATGGAGGCTTGAATCGACCTCTAGAGTTGATTTCAGTTTTGAGTTTTTCAAGCAATTTTTCAATTGTGTAATGTCAATTGCTGCGCAGTTTTCAGTCCCTAGGCCTTAGGGTTCTGTTCTAGTACTTGTATGGAAGCATTTAGGTTAACAAAAGTGGAACAAATCCATGGCATTGATAGTTTTCAATATTTGATTTTCTTAAGATTTTTTCAAATCTTTTCCATGTGCATTTTGCTCTCAATCATGCCAATCAGCTTCAAATCTTTCCCCTTTTGTATTTACACGAAATATTGAGTCCAAACCTGCATAAAAAGATTTGTTTTCATTAGGTTTGTATTTTTTATGCATTTTATTTAATTAAATGAATTATAAATGATAAATAATCCAAATAAATAAATAAAAATGGAGAAAAACTTCCTTTTGGGCCTAATGGTCGTGCATAGGCTTGGCATGAAGAAATTTGGAAGAAAAATGGGCCCATTTGCATTTTTAGGTCATTTGGATCAAAGTTGACTTTTCAAAATTTCCAAAAATTTCCCAACTTCCACAAGGCATAACTTGCTCAATTTTTAAGCTTTTCACATGTTCTTGGACATTTTGGAAAGGTCTTTGAGTCCTTTAATCAATGCCTTTGGTCCCATGTCATTTTGATTTACCAATCTCAAGTTATGGCCTTTGACTTAAAGTCCCTTTTTGTTGACTTTTGAAAATGACCTATAATGTTGAAATTGATAACTTTTTGTGAGAGCATTTCTTGGACTTGAAGTATGAAGATGAGTTGTAGGAAATGTCTTTCTCTTCAAAATGAGCTTTGGATGGAATTTTTCTGATAATCC